GAGGAAGGAAGCCGAGGGACACGGAGGGGGAGGGCTCGGTAGGGCGATTTCCATTGTCGGCCGTGAACACCGCTCACGGTCGCCGATATAATTGGCGCCGCCCTCGGATGCCGGATAACTCGAACGATAACGAGGACAAAAGAAACCGCGCCGGTGAAGAAAACAATGGTGGAAGATCCGTTCAAAGTACCGAAGAACGAGCGAGCTAGCGAGCTCTTGGATCTGACAGAATTCAACCTCCGACTTTCCCACTTTTCCGGCTTATCCCTCACTCGACCGCGTCAACCTCTCCCTCCCGAATACTTGGATTCTCGCGCCTTAATTGTACTCGTTAAGGGACCTCGATCTTTACGCAACATAATTCCAGTCGTCCATCTTTTTTTTCAACTGTTTCTATTCTTCTCAACGAACCTTTCTTTCTTTCCCCAATTCCAAATATTCGACGGATTTCTTCGATTTTTAACCGGTTTGCAAAGTTTCGAGCGAATTCCGAAGTTCCGAGATTGCCCCTTTCAACGGATCGTGAAAGAACGATTTATCGAGTATTTCGGTGTAACCAGTCGTCGATAATTGCAATTTCATCGCAATCCTCGCCAACTTTTAGCAACCGGTTGGTCCGCCAACGATCCGTACGCGTTTCGTAATTCTCCATCGCGAGAACGTCGAGTTCTTCCTCCCTCTCCTTCCCTCCCTCCCTCTCTCCTCGATATACACCTTCTCGAAAGCAAAACGGGATCCCTGTAATTACCGACGACTCGGAAGATCGTTCGACGTAACGACGAGAATGTTGGAGCCTCGCGCGAAAAATAGGACGCATTTTTAATTAATACCACGGGGGCGTAATTATCGGCGGATTTCTAATTGGAAAAGGGGAGGGGAAGAAAAATCGCGGAAGGTCTCTCCTCGAGAATCAAGGCTGCGGCGAGTGGGTTGGAGCGCAACATCCTCTCCGACTCGGCTACGATTAACGCGGTATCGGTCGCAATTACCGAGAAGAATCCTCGTCTCGAGGACATCCACGTTCCAATTCTTTATTCGCCGATTTCGTGGGCCGAGAAGAAGGGAAGGCGAGAGAAGGGAAAAGGTCTTTGGTCCACGTTTAACGGTTGGACGCGTTTCGAACGCGTTCTCGCCCGATTTCCTCCGGCGAGGAGAAATCTGCTAATAAATCGATCGACGCCCGCCACGGGTTCGTATATAGAAATTTCGAAGCGAGTCAGTCTCTTCCTTCTCTCCGTTGGTAAACCGTTTTACCAACTTTTTCCGCTATATCGAATTCTGATTCTATTCTCGAGCACTCGAAGAAACACTCGGGCCAACACCCTGACCCGATACCGCATCTTCTCTCCCTTCTATCGGCGGATAGAAATGGGAACGGGGAATAGGATATCCCCTCGCAGTATTCCGATACTCCTTTTCCTAACTTTCGATCCCGCGGGATACGCCTCGTATCGCCCATGGATCGGGAGAGGGTGGTCCCTCTTCTCAACCGATCCACCATCTTTACGATCGACCAACCTGTCGTTCCGTTGATTGTTTCAGCCGAGAAATTGCCGAACGGTTTCCCGTTAATATCTCAAGCGCCAACGACCAAGGTGGTCGAGATGGGCCATAACGCGGTGCTCCTGTGCACGGCCGTCGGTTCACCGCCTCCGATCATATCTTGGGTGAGAGATATGCTGCCCATCGACACCACCAATCCACGCTACACCGTTTTGGACACGGGTGAGTAGAAACCAGCATTCCTTCATATCCGCCTCGA